GGCCCAAACCCGAGCCCAACTTGAATGCCAAGTAGGCTGCTCTGATCTTTTGGATTGGCTTCTGATCTACGGTGTTGGTGTGTTGATTTATATACCAGCTGAAGGGTCATTCCTTTCGTGATTTTCATTATGTTCTGTGAGAAGCTTCTGGGTTGTCCGGTTCTATTCGTCTTCTCCGTTCTTGGTGACTTCTCTCTACTGTGTGTAAACCTAATAGCTTCTGGTTTTGGGTAAAACCTGAGTGTCTAGTCTTTGTGATGTTTCGCTTCTAGGTTGTGAGGGAGATAGATCAGTGTGTCGATCCCATTTCATTGTAGTAGCTTCTTTGTGCATTTTCAAGAGGGTTTGGGGTTTTGTGGCCGATCCTATATTGTATGGACGGGTACGATGTTCCCATTTCTGAGCCTACTATAAATAGAATCTACTTTGTGCATATTGTTCAACTTTCTTGGTGAAACTGTGACTGCTTCCGTGTGTTTCTTGAGGCTCTTTACCCTTACAATACCCTCATTTCTATATTCACAATCACCACCTTCCTCCACTATGTCTCGGCTGACGAAGCCACCATTATGGCCGCTCTGGCTAAATCTCTCTCCTCTCCCCGTCCTGGTTGGTTTGGCTCCAAGCCCTGTAAATGGCAAGTCGTTAATTGTGATTCCTCAGGCAAAATCAGCTCGATTAGTCTCCCTTCCATGTCTCTCACGGGCAAATTTGAACCAACTTTCCAATCTCAAATCCCTTCACCTCCAAAACAATCTCCAGGCCCCTTGCCGTCTTTATCCAACCTTGCTTCCCTCCAAGACGTCAATCTTGATGGCAATAATTTCAGTTCTATCCCTCCTGATTTTCAGTCAGGATTAACAAGTTTACAAACATTTAGCATTAATAATAACTCAAATCTCCCACCCTGGAAAATCCCTGATACCCTCAAGGATTCAACATCCCTTGTTAGTTTTAATGCAGGGAAAGCTAATCTTGTCGGCCAAATTCCAGATATTTTTGGATCCTTTCCAAGTTTACAGAACCTGAAGCTTTCATATAATAACCGACAGGGTCATTGCCTCTTTCATTTTCCAATTCTGGGATTCAGAATCTATGGCTCAACAATCAGACATGGGACTTTCAGGCACGATAGATGTCATCGGGATGATGTCACAGTTAACAAAGGTTTGGCTTCATGTCAACGAGTTTTCAGGTCCAATTCTAGACCTTCCCGCGTGTACAGAATTGTATGATATTCAGCTTCGGGATAATTTTCTCACCAGTGTGATTCCTTATTCTTTTACAAAGCTTCTGAAGCTCAAAACTGTCATGTTGCAGAACAACATATTCCAGGGTCCACAACCTGGTTTTTCAAATGGTGTCCAGTTGATTCTTGGAACTTCTAACAATTTTTGTAATCCTAGTCCCTGTCCATGTGATCCACATGTGACTACTTTGCTTGAAGTTGCTGGGGCATTAGATTATCCAATGGCATTGGCACAATCTTGAAAAGGGAATAATCCTTGTCAGAATTGGATACATATTTCCTGCGATGTGAAGGGGAGTGTGACTGTTATCAATTTTGCGAAGCAGAATTGGGTTGGGACCATATCACCAGCCATTACCAATCTCAGTAAAATAAAAACTGTCCTTTTGAACGACAACAACCTTACCAGTACCATACCAGATAGCTTGACCAGTTTGAAGCTGCTCCAGCTTCTTGATGTCTCCAAAAACAATCTTTCTGGTAAAATCCCACAGTTTTCTTCAAGTGTCACACTAAAAACAACTGGAAATAAGTACATTGGGATAGATTTGCCCCTAATTCCCCTCCTGTAAGTACATCTAAAGGAGAAAATAATCAATCTGGTGCGAAAAATGGGACTAATTCTTCTCTCTCAGCATGGATGATTGTCGTCTCTGTTGTTGCTGCCGTTTTAGTAGTTCTTGCCTTGTGCTTTGCAATTTACAGGTGCTATGCCAAAAAGCGCAGTGCAAAATACAAATGGGTTAATGGAAGTGAACTTGGAAATAGCGAAAAGGAGAATGAGACTAGGGAAAATGTAAAAAGCACCAGCAAGACTCTTATTCGAAGTAGCTGTGAAAAGAGCGATTATCATGTGTACGATGGTGGGAATATTACAATCCCAATCGAGTTCTTAGAGAAGTTACAAATAACTTCAGTGAAAACAACATTTTGGGTAGGGGCGGATTTGGGGTTGTTTATAGAGGACAACTCCACGATGGGATGCAAATAGCAGTTAAAAGGATGGAATCAATTATTTTAAGTGACAAGGGGATAAACGAATTCAAGGCTGAAATCGAAGTGCTTACAAAGGTAAGACACAGAAATCTTGTCGCGCTTCATAGATTTTATGACAATGGGAATGAAAGACTTTTGGTCTACGAGCACATGTCACAAGGGTCATTAGGGCAGCATTTGTTCCATTGGGAGGAGTTGGGGCTTATGCCTCTCACTTGGAACCAAAGAGTGACAATATCACTAGAAGTTGCTAGAGGAGTCGAATATATACACAGCTTAGCACAGCAGAGTTTCATTCATCGAGATTTGAAACCTACGAACATTCTTCTAGGAGACGACATGAGGGCTAAGGTTTTTGATTTTGGTTTGGTGAGGAGTGTTCCGGATGGAAAGTACTTAGTCGAGACTCGGTTAACTGGAACCTTCGGATATCTTGCACCAAAATATCCTGGTATTTATCAGTTTTTGTTATTGAATATCCTATATTATAATCTGGCTTTCATACAGCAATATACTCTTCATTCTTAAATCTATACTCCTAGTGCATTCATGTTTAAGAAAGTTTAATCACGTTCTAGTACTACTACTAAGTACTAACAAAACTATTATCTTCAATTCCAAACAGCCACAGGAAAGAGTGACAACAAAAGTTGATGTCTTTGCCTTTGGGTGGTTTTGATCGAAACCATCACCGGCCGTAAAGTATTAGAGGACTCATTACCGGATGACCAAACCCATCTAGTCACCTGGTTCCGTAGGCAAATCCAAAACAAAGATAGTGTAAGAACCTCCCTTGATCCGATCCTACAGACAGATGAAGAAACCTTCTCAAGTATTTGGAAAGTAGCAGAACTGGCCAGATACTGCACAGCCCGGGAAGCACAACAGATGCCGGACATGAGCCATGTCGTAAATGCCTTGTCTCCATTGGTGGACCATTGGAAACCGACCCTGGAAGAGGAGGAAAATTTCGGCATTGATTTTCACATGAGCCTCCAACAAGCATTGCAGAAATGGAAAGCTAATGAAGACACTTCTTGTTCTTCCATGTTCACTAGTGATATATATATAAGAATTAATTTAGTTTGTACAGCCAATTTGACAACTAGTGAGTTGTCAAAATTCAGGCCATTGATTTAAAAAATAGTTTTTAAAACGGATGGATATGATGCCTGCCAAGCACGGGGTTGTAAAGAAATTTGTACAAGAAGTATGTTTTTATAATAGTAGCAATTAGAGATGCATTCTGCTGTACCTGAAAATATGCTACCGGCTGCCCTTTCTTAAATACATGTAATTAATACCTGATTTTCAATTCTTGTCTGCAAGGAATTTAGGACAAGGTATATTCAACTTTGCAGCATGTCCTATAAACAAGAGGAAGGTGAAAGAACCTGGGATAGAACCGCATTTCTGACCTCCATTGAACAACTATTGGAGGAAAAACCTCATTGAACAATACATTTCTCGATCGAAATTGAAATCACCTTTGAGTAAAAACACTAAATCCACTTTGCATTAAACAAAAATTATGTCCTCGCACATGCCTCATAAGCAAGATAAGAGATCAGCCACCCATAATAACTTTGCTCATCTTTATATTAAAGACTAGTGTAGTCTCATGTAGTCCAAATTGTGTTCATAATAGTATTACATGAGTTGGCTTGTCTAGGAATATCAGCTTCTATTACAGGAGCAGATTCAGAACTCCTAGAAGCATGAAGCAATTTTAATTATTATTTTGTCTTTTCTTTTTGTTTAAATTAAGAATACTATTAGTGAGTACATCAAAACTTAAATCCCTGTCAGAGCAAATATCCTGGTACCAAAGCGGAGAGTACGTATGATATGATAACGGTTTCGGCTCGAGGTCGAGTCATTACAAATATTCTCTGTTATAAGCTATTCCAATCCGTCTCCAGCATCTTAAACACGGTTGTAAGTGACATAGCTTTCTCTTTCATTCAGAGATAACCTGTCGGTTACCTCCTCCTTTCTTCCAATATGTCACTTGAGCTACCTCACAAAGCCGATCAGCTTAGAATGCATTCTTGCTGCAAATATTAGCTCATTGTCACTAGTAGGAGCAATGAGTTGCATGGTCTTCTGCTCAAGCAAACCCTAATAAGTTGAACACGAAATTTTTGCCTAGAACTTATTTGTATTGAAATTATTAATTAAACGTGTTTGAGTGATTTAGTTTTCAATTTAGAAAATAATATACTTTTTCATTTTTTATTAGTGAATAGATGAAAGAGAGGGGATAGATGAGAGAGAGAAAGATGTGAATTACCTAGAAAATAAAAACTACATTTCTTTAAAAAAAATATTTTCTTTATTTTTAAAAAAATATATGATCACGTGACTAAAAGTAGAATAATATTTTCATGGAAAAAATTATCAATCAAACAACACAAAAATTGAAAATTAGGTGAAAAAATACATTTTTTATGGAAAATATTCACAATCAAACGCACACTAAAATAAATTGATAAGATATTGACTCTTATTCGGACGCTTGATCTTTAGACTTCTTTATCTCAACTTGTTTAGATTAGATTTGGTTAGACACAATCATGCTACCTTTGATTTATTACTTTATTAACCATTATACTTATTCTTAAATTCTATTCTCAATGCTCAATATGATCACGTGATCAAACGTAAGACAATATTTTTCGTGAAAAAAATTGTTAATCAAACAACATAAAATAGAAAATTAAGTAAAAAAAAATACACTTTTCATGAAAAATATTGACAATAAAACGCACCATAAGATAAATTGATAAGATATGGGCTCTTATACATTTGCTTGATCTTTAAACTTCTTTATCTCACTTTTTTGGACTAGATTTGGTTAGACACAATCATGCTACCTGCCATTTGTTACTTTACTAACCATTATACTTTTTATTAAAGTTTACTGTCGATGCTCAATATAATCACATGATCAAAAGTAAGATAATATTTTTCGTAAAAAAAATTATTAATCAAACATCACAAAAATAAAAAATTAAGTAAAAAAATATATTTTTCATGAAAAATATTAACAATAAAGCGCAACCTAAAATAAATTGATAAGATATGGCCTCTTATTCATATGCTTGATCTTTACACTTCTTTATCTCAACTTGTTTGGACTAAGATTTGGTTAGACACAATCATGCTACCT